AGGAGTTTGAGGAGAGTTGATCCCAGCATCGAGGACAGTTCATTTACAGCACAACATTGAGGTGAGTTACCTTCCAGTAGAAGTGGGTCTAAGGCCACAATGTCGGCCCACTAGTAGGAGTTGTTTGTTAGATGATTGTCTTTGTGATAATTGTCTGGTATGTCACTATCTGTTTAGCTTTATATGCTAGGATGCTACGATATATGTGTTAGTAGTAGTAGGGGTGAACTAGTCCCCGGTTACCGATTGAAAGATACGGAAGGGGTAGACAGTACCCATGCATGCCTAGTACTATGTTCATGTTATGTTATTATGTGGTAGTGGTAGGGGTGAAATAGTCCCCGGTTACCGGTTGAAAGATACCGAAGGGGAGGTCAGCTCCTGGTTACCGGTTGAAAGATACCGAAGGGGAGTCCAGCTTCCGGTTATGTCAGTCAGATACCGGTTGAAAGATACCGAGGGATAGGCATTATGTGTTTATGGTATGTGGTATGATGGGGGAACTCACTAAGCTTTGTGCTTCTGGTTTACAGTTTTTGTTTCAGGTCCTTCTTCTTCGAAAGGAAAGGAGCCGGCACGGTAGCAGCGCATCACACCACTATTTTCCGCACTATGATATTCTTGGGATTGTACTCTGACATTGTTACTACAATATGACATGCTTTTGATACATATGAACTTTGGCTTTGATGAAATGAAATAACTTGATGACATTTTCTTAAAATTGTGTTATGAGTTGTTATATCAAAGGTGAAATTTTTTGTCATGATTTTCGAGATGTTACAGTCTTATGTGCTTATCCGGAGTTATGTAATATCATGCATCTTGTCTTTGTGATTTATGTTGTATATTATTTATGTACCTTATTGAGTTAGGACCGGAGGGTCCAAACCAAGTTGTGAGACCGGAGGGTCTTCACTGAGATATCGGACTGGAGGGTCCGACCTGAGCTGTGAGACCGGAGGGTCTTCACTGAGACACATGACCGGAGGGTCCTTATTGAGATATAGCCATGAAAGGTTAATTATTTGTGTGTGGTATTTGGGGAACTCACTAAGCTTCGTGCTTACAGTGTTGTGTGAAATGTTTTTCAGGTACCTCTCAGGATCGCGGGAAGGCGCCGGCTTGATTGTACACGCTAGTTTGAGATTATGTTTTGAGGATTCTGGGATATTGTCAAACATTTTGTTGTTTTGTGTTTTGAACAACTTATACATTGGGTTTTGAGAAATGTGAGATTTCATTTTTATATGGTTTTAAAAATGAAAATTTTGTTTGAAAATTTAGAGCGTTACATTGACCATATATCATAACTCGTAACTCCGATTAATGAGATTCAAAATGTTTTAGAAACAAGACAAAATTTCAGACAACTTTCGTGTTTTGAGAAAATTATGATTCCCAATGCCCACGCTGTGGCAAATCGTTTCCACGGCGTGGAAACTCAAGAAATTCCGTGGATGCAAAGAAAATAGCTCCCACGGCGTGGCAACTATTTCTCCATGCCGTGGTGACGCTGAAACCCATAAATAGAGCCGAAAGTTATCCCTAATGACATATCTTGAACCCTAATTTGTTCCCTACGAAAATAAACCCCCAAACTGCGATTTTGAGAGCCTAGAAGGCGGCCGGAGGGTCGTTAAGCTGATTTGGAGTGAAGATCTGAAGGATTAGGGAGCCGATTCATGCCGGAAATCATTTGGTTTGTTGTTCCGACCACGATTAGGGCTTAAAAACCCTATTGCTTTGTGTTTCTAGATCAATCATTGAGACTATGGATTAATTTGCTATCCAGATTATTTATTCTTATTTCATTTATTATGTTTGCTTGCTAAAGATCCTGGTGTGTTAAAGTTTCAATCTTTTCTGTTTATTGCTGAGTATTATTGGGATTAGATGATCAGTCTATCTTGATGTGCTTGAATCATATGAATTTATAATCATTAGATTTGTATGACTAGAATTTTGATGATAAACATAGGGTTAAATAGAAAAGTTAGTAACTTTAATGTGGCAGCTTATATGTGATGACCATTCATGTATATAATTGGTATTATGATTATTAATATCAGTTTATAATTCAAGTCTTTCCTAGTTCGAACTTAAAACTAGTATGCTTGTTTGTTTGTCCACTTGATCAATGAATGAATGAACTTGTTTTACGAAAGGATTAGTCTTTTGATCATAAATTATAATCATATTAGGAATTTGTGAATAATGAATAAATATCCATTGCACTAAGTAGTTAATCAGTATTTCGAGATGAAATCCAGTCTGAACCAAAGTACCCAAAGTGGTTTGTTTCCATTCAGTTTATCTAGTTAGTTTAGTTGTTGATTTAGTTCCGCTTTTATAATAAAAAACCATTTTTATTGATTTTATTTATTTAATGTAACCTATAAGCAAGTATTCTAATATTAATTCACTACCATTACCCTTGAGTTCAACACCCTTTCTTATCAAAACTATATTATACTCGATCAGGTTCACTGTCTGTAAGGTGTGGTTTAGATGCGATAGACTAGGACTTATAAATAAAAAACCGGTACATTAAAATATACATCAGATTGGATCAAGTTTCCCAACACTTAAACTTTAAAATAAGGAAAAGAAATATACATGCAAGGAACGGGTGTTACAATTCTCCCCCACTTAAACTAGATTTCGTCCTCAAAATCCTTGGCTGTAAATAGTTACGGATAGTGCTCACACATCTCTGCCCCGGGCTCCCAGGTCCACTCAGAATCCTTCCTATGCTACCACTGAACCTTGACCACAGGTACCACCTTGTTACACAAGGCCTTTGTCTTCCTATCCAAAATAGCCACCGGCATGTCCACGTAATTCAGGCGCGCATCGACCTGAATATCATTTAACGGAACCACCACCGAATCATTCACCACGCACTTCCACAGCTGAGAATTATGGAAGGTGTTGTGAATCTGACTAAGCTTATCAGGCAAATCCAATCAGTAGGCCACCTTGCCCACCTTGGCCACCACTCATAACGGTCTAATAAATCGGGGGCCCAACTTTCCCTCTTCCTGAAGCGTATCACACCCTTCCAGGGGATACCTTCAACAAAACCATGTCCCTAACCTGGAATTCCAGCTCGGACCGTTGTCTATCAACATAACTCTTTTGTCGACGCTGTAATGTCTGTAACCTCTCTCTAATGTGATGGATAAGCTTTGTCATTTAGAGAACCACCTCAGTCTTCCCATAACCCTATAGCCGACCTCTCGCCAACACACTAGAGTACAACACTTCCTCCCATACCGAATCTTGTATGGCGGTGCCCCAATGCTATAATGATAGTTGTATGAAAACTCATCAATGGGAAGGTAGGAGTCCCAACTCCCACCGAAATCGATAACATAAGCCCTCAGCATATCCTCGAGCGTCTGAATGGTCCGCTCACTCTGACCATTAGTCTTAGGGTGATAAGTAGTGCTGAAATGCAGTCTCGTACCCAACTCCTCATTAAATCTCTGCTAAAATCGAGAAGTAAATCGCACATCACGATCAGATATGATAGAAACCGGTACACCGTGGCGAGTAACAATCTTGCCCACATACACGTCGGATAATTTCTCATCCGAAGAACGCTCCCGAATGGAAAGGAAATGGGCACTCTTGGTCAGATGATCGAAGATGACCTACATAACATCGAGTCCCTTGGTTGTCCTCTTCAACTTGGTGATATAACCCATGGTGATCTGCTCCCATTTCCACATAAGTACCTCCAAAGGTTGCAACTTGTCATGCAACCTCTGTTGCTCTGCCTTGACCATCTGACAGGTTAAGCATCTCTCCACATACCATGATATCTCTGGCTTCATGCATGACCACCAATAGTTGAGTCTCAAGTCTCGATACATCTTCGTGGCTCCAGGGTGGATCGAGAACTTGGATTTGTGCGCCTCCTCCATCACTGTCTGTCAGACCCCTCCAAAAGCTAGGACCCATACTCGCCCACACTGGGTTATAACCCCACGACTATTGGTGGCAAATCTACCAATTTGACCCCTAATCCTCTCCTTTTTCCAATTCTCCATCCTATTTCCCTCAATCTGAATCTCCCTGGTGAAATCCAGGAGTTGTGAGTCGATGATCATCCTCAAAACCGCTGTCTAGGGTTTCGAATCACCACTAGTGATCTGCATTTCCAATGACGCCTGAAGCCTTCGATCTCCTTCTTCACGTGTGCACCACCATCGATCTCCATCGGCTAGGGTTTCGAGACCGATGATTTTGCCATATGTTCAGATCGATTTATGACAGATGTTTAGATCATCCTTGGCCTCCATCGTCACATGTATTACAACATCGGATATGGAGAAGAAGAGTCTTGTCGCCGCCTAGGGCTTCAAAGCCACCGTCCAGGGTTTCAAATTAAGGGTTTAATATTCATATACAAGGAAGAAATCAAATGCATGGTTTTCAAATTATGGTTTAGCTGGAGGAGGTGTTGGCGGTGATAGGTGGTGGTGTCGAATATTTGTTGTAGGAGCTAGGGAAATGGAAGGGGAGGGTGGGGATATTTTATTTTATTTATTTATTTATAATTTAAAATTGACAAATAAATAAAAGAAAATGAAAAAAGAAATTAAGAAAGATAAAATAGTCATTTCATGTCAATAGAGACTAAGCGTGTAAGAGAAAACAAACTCAGGGACAGTCCGTGTTAATTTTTTAAAATAGAAACTAAACATACGTTTTAACACATGCACGAGGGACGAATGGTATAATATACACTATATCTATGGATATAGATTATAGAAATAGATAACATTATATTTATATGCATGTTAAAAATATAATGATATCCAATTTTTCCAAAAGTGGGATCAGTTGAATTGTAATGTCATTCTTTCACCATTTAAAGGTCATAGATTCAAGTCTTTATTTATCCAAAATCTGTAAACCTTCCTTTTAACACACTTATTGCGATATTTATAGCTAACATTGGTTTTTGTAAAAAATAGTATCTTGGTTTACTAGTAAGGGCAATGCCCCCATGTTCCATTTGTCGTGTGTTTGAGTCCTTTAATGTGCATGTATTGTGTATCCAAATCCAACAACAATTGTCCAACCAATCCGTACTCAAATCCAACTGTGAAACCATCTTTGTAGTCTCTTCCTCTAAGCACAAAAAACTCACAAGGCTTATTGATCATCACAATAATCAAATTACTATCTTTTGGATCAAAATTTTGGCCCAATATCAAACAAAATTTTAACCCATTATTTCTGTCTTTCCGCCCATCAACAGTAGTAAGAAACTTAAAATTACTTGCCAGCCCAAAGCAATTGTAATCCAGCAACCCATCTCTTTTGAATCCCTATCCCATATCAAATAAGCCCATATAATTCCAGCCCAATAGTAACCTTGCCTTATTTAGCATCCTCAGATACATTATACATATGGCAACCAAATTCAACAATCATTCGTATTGCTATTATTACTCATTAATCTCAACTTTTGAATGAAATGAAACTTGTTATTAATAAAAAAATCCATTTTTTCTATTCCATGCAATTTTCTTCCAATGCAGCCTTCATGCGAAAAATCTTTATAGATATTGGATTATAATTTCCACCATACAAATCATCAGAGTTGTCCTTAGGTAAAATAGGTTTCGAACATATTATTTTTAAAGATTTACTACTCTATGATTTCGTTTTTATATGTTTGTTTTAAGTCTGAACTGAAGTGGTCTGTTTCATGCTTTAAAGGGGATAACAAGATACGCAATTATCCAACGAATATGAGTAGTAGTTGTTTTGGAAGAAAGGAAAGGGCAAATTACAAAGAATGGTAAGGAACTTTGGTTATATATTAGGTAACTGTTCTCATTGGTAGGAGCATCAGTTCAGATGCAAATGTTTTTAATGATCTCTGAGGGCAGCTTTCTATTTTTCATTTATTGGGTGCAAGTGTTTTACTATATTTATCTATGTGGGCCTATTTACGTTGACCGGTGTGAATTCCTTTTACATTATCTTTGATGTTTTGATTTGCAAGATGAAAGATAAAAATGGAAGAAAAAGAAATGATTTTACTAAGGTTTGGTTTCTTAATTTCTTTTTGTACGTGGGTTTCTTTTCGGTTTAATTTTTGAATATATCTTACCTATTGTAGTTTTTTTTTTTTTAATAAAATCATATGCGAGATATCAGGACCTCTGCTGGAAATAAAATCGATAGAAGGATACCTGATAATCTTTGGTCTTACACTAATCTCAACAATCTGTGAGTTTTGTTCATCTCCACACTTCTCCTACTTAATTTATCTCACAGCCGAAGGATTTGTTGTTTTCTCTCAAAACTTGATAGAATTCACAGGAAATTAGAGTTTAGGATCATCATATTCACTTCAAAAGTCCAATTACCTTGATTAGTTCTTGTAATGGTTAAATATGATATTGGATTACCTATTTTGTCATTTTTTTTATCTCAAAATATGTTTTTCTATTTAAACTTCAGTTGCATTGAAAAGTAAATGAACTTTCTTTTTATAAATAACTCAAAAATATTGTTTATAATATGCATTGAGTGTTCCAATATCAAGATTAAGATCATTTGGGTTTCTCTATTTTCCTTCTTCAATTTTTGCTCTCTATATTTACATTCAAGATTGATAATATCCACTTCATATAATTGTCTAGGGTATTGGATATATAGTTTATTATGGCTATATTAAAAGTAATTATCATTGTTTTCCCATTTAAAGAAAATGATAATTTGAAGCAATATTTTTCAAATTAGAGCTCACGTTTTGATGATGTCATATGTTTAAATTTGTTTTTATTTTAAACAAATTATAGATTCTTCTTGCAAATGGATGTTTCAATTTTTTTGTATTTTGAACAAATTGTAGATTCACTTGCAATGGATGAAACGAGAAGCAGGAATTAAAGACATTTGCAATGGATGAAACGAGAAGCGATGACAGTAATCAAAGACACTTGCAATGGATGAAACGAGAAACGATGATAGGAATTAAAGACACTTGTAATGGATGAAACGAGAAGTGATGACATGAGAATAAAAGTTTTTCTTTATTTGTCATATATTGTTTTATCACCATAGCGATTGTGCCAGAGGATTGTCTAGCGGATGTTCGAGTTTGTAGGTAATCAAACTCGAGTAAATTTTTATGCTTAAGAGTTGCGCTACTTACACACCTATACGATGGCCTTCAAGCAAAAAAATGGAAAATCCCACCGCCTGCAGAAGCTTCCTCATCCGTGGAGTGATTGAATTTTCGAGAACACCAATTCCATCAACATTAAAATCATCGGTCCATGGATCTAATTTTGTTAATAGTTCCACCTAAGATAACAAGATATGCAAATCCAGAAGCTTCCACTTTTAATAGTATTCGTTTCTGCGTTTGATCAAGGAAAATACAGATGTAAATTAGATTGTTGTCGTCCACTAGGGATGAGCGTGGGACGGAACCGGTACGGACCGGTACCGTTCCCGATTTCCCAAAACCAAATTTTATTGAAAATCAATCCGGAATACTGAACCGAATTAACATCACCGGTACCGGTACCGGGAATGGTACAGGTTTTCGGTACTAGTACCGGTACCCGTGGTACCGAATCCTGAATTTCATGTATTTGGAGTACCAAGAACTGTCTCATATTTTCAAATTCAGTACCGGACGGGAGGGTTTTGGGACAAACTGCGCATCCCTACCATCCAGGGCTGTTAAATGCATATTCTTTAAACAATAAAAAAAAACCACGATTCAGCACTAAGCTTTAAAGAAAATTACCCTTAACGCCGTCGTAGGTCTATCAGGTTGAAGAGCAACATAACTACGACTCTTTCAACCTTCATCAACAAAAGCCTAGTCCGCCGTTGTTGCAATTCCCTATTTTAACATTTTGAAAACCATTTCATTATCTTATGAATGTAATAATCGAACATAACTAAGACCAAACTCCCCAAATCAAAAAAAATACCAGAATGTTTTCGTAATTAAACAAAGACAACAGTGGTTCACTAACCTTTGATTTATTGGTGGAAGATGCTTGCAAAAACAGACCCTTAGATCGCCGCGCTCTGCTCTTCGGATAGGAAGAAAACCTAACTGTTTTTATGGCGTAGAACCCCTAAGTGCTAAATGGCTTCTCTTTCTGGGTTTTTATGTAATGGGCCGACTTCTAGAAGCCCAAAAAGTCATATCATGTTTTAATTCAATTTTACTTCAAATTTTTGACGTAAGAATAACAATAACTATAATTATGAACGTTCTAAATATATAGATGGGTTAATGCAATAAATACAATTATTTGAACAATTTTTTTTAGTTTTAGCCATAATTCCTTTTGGTCTATAAAATTCATTCTTTTTAATATTTTCTTTTAAATATTGGGTTTTCCAAGTTGTAACATATTACCAAGTCATCTTTTGATGATAATACATTATTATTGACCGGGCTTGCCACTTCAACGATGACAACACATTATTGTTGATGTAATTTGTCACGGCATCATCTTCAAAAAGAAAAAAATATAATTAATAATACAATATCAATTTGCCATTTAACATAAATAATTATAACATCCAAACGAATGATTTTGTTTTTGATACGGCAATTAATATAGATTTCTTAGTTAAATTTGTTTAAAGTACTTTTAGATTGCTACACGATTCAAGGAAAATGAAGGCATAAGACGACAATGACCATCAATAATTTTTTTTATTATGTATGTAACTATATTTTCTGATGAGGCCGGAGGGTATGGAGCGGGAAAGAGGAGCGGGAAGGCTTCCCTCTCACTGGAACACTGTATCATGGGTGAGGGGAGCAACCCGCGGGAAAGAGGTGGGGGGAGGGGTTGACGCACTCTCTCTCCTCATTCTATTGGCCTGTTCTTTTTTTTATATTTTTTAATATTTATAAAATTATATACCTACTAAAAAAATATAAAATATATATCAAAATTCATGGTTTTTAATTCCCTACAAAATGAGTATAATATATATATGAAATATATTTAAAAATAAATAAATAATAAATAATGAGGTGAGCTTCCCACCCATTCTTTGGGTTTTAGATAAAGGAAAGGAAAGTGAGAAAAATAGTGGTGTGACCCACAAAAAGTGAGGGAAACTCCCCACCCATACCCTCTGATCTGACAACGTCTTTACCATAAGATTCAAATAATCTATTTTGTGATACTTTTGTCTAGTAAAACAGTGTTTATGATTGAAATTATGGATTTATTAGAATTGCATAATGATATCTTAATGTTTTCATTGTTCTGTTCTCATTACTATGATATTGAAAAATAAGCTTTTAAAGTTGAAGTTGCTATAGAATTATTTAAGGCTATAGAAATAATGTTGAATAATTTGGTAGAAAATCACATCGTCCATGTTGGTCTTCATATTATTATTAGTAGGTGTGAAACTCATGTACTATACGAGTTGATTAAAAAAATTATATATGAAGATATAAACATTAAGTATTTTTTTTAAATAAAACATTAAATATCAAAGTGTAAACATTAAGTATTTTTTAAAATAAAATTTCAAAATATATACAAACAAAATAATGAATAAATAAACAATTCAATTTATACTAATAAAACAGAAAAATCATTATATTTTTACCATTTAACCTTTTTTTAGTTTGTCAATAAAAAACAACAAAGTTTGATTATTTTTTCTATATAGACCATTTTGTCTAAAATGACAATGAACTTTAAAAAAAACATGTCAATTTTGAGTTATATATTTTGAAGGAAACATATTAAAATTTGAAAATATAAGGAAACAAATTAATGACACATTAATTAATTTCTATAACCTAAAAATTAGATAGTTATTTAACAAAATCAAAAGTTATCACAAAATGACAAATGAAAATTAATTTCTAAGAATTAACCACAAAATTACATGTGTCAAAATGCACGAAAATATGACATGTAGCAAAAAGATTTTTTTTATTAGTATTGATTTTTATTGATTTTCATCAACATAGGCTAAAAAAAAGATTATTTTATTTCCATATATTAGATGACTTTATAATTGTATTTAAGTTATTATTTTGGCTTATACATGATCGTTGCTATTTTATAAACACATTTCTAGCATCAATCGATATTTTTTTTATGTCTTTAAAGACGTCTCTATTTTATTTTTATTATTTGAATCCAAAATATATTGCACATAAACTCTTCTTATATCTGACCTTACCTATCTTATGTATTAGTTGTGAGATCAATGTATTACACGTGTTGATTAAAAAATTTAAATACAAATATTTAAACAGTAAAAAAATTAAAGTAAAATTTTGAAACAAATACAACTGAATTGATGAATAAATAAGTACTTGAATCTATATTAATAAAAGAAAACTATTTAAATATTTATAAAAACGATGAATAAGTACTTCAACATTAGATGTCTTAACGTTAAGTTTTACTGTAATTGTTTAAAATTAATATTTTTTAATCCATTTTTACTTTTAACTCTGAACAATGCAACACACAACTACCCATGAGTGAACATTGATTGTCTCAAAAACTCCAAAATTTCAACAAATCCGAGATCTGATTAACAGTTTCGTAATTTCGAGCAAAAATTTCATTTTTTACTTTATTCTAACAAAAAATTAAACAAATATAGTGAATGTGAACTATATACAATATTAAAGCATAAAATCAGACATTAGATTGAAAAGCTGTGACATTAAACACATCGAAATGGACATTTCAGACATAATCAGAGATTTCTTTGGAAAAACAGAAAAGAACTCCAAAATTTAAAGATCAAATCCGAAATAGGGTATTTGAGAGTAAGTGGTCATTTTTCAAAAACCGAAAATTGTAGCTATTTTATTTAAAAAAAAAACTCATTTATAATTATTAGTTTCTTTAATATATTTTTTTTAAAATACAACAAAAAGAAATTTAAGGTTTTTAAAACGAGATTTAACATTTTTCGATTTTATGTATATCTAAAGTTAATAATTTGTTCCTATTTGATGAAATGAAGCTGGTCTAAAAGTAAATCTAAATTTAAAAAATATTTTAATATTAAGTCATTAACATAGTTTACAACTATTAAAATGTATTTTAAAAAAATGTTATAATTCGATATAATTTATAGTAGATTATGTCATTAAACTAGTTGATTATGAACTTGTTTTGTAACACCCCGAATTCAGAAGATCCTTGAAAAGGAAGAAAACCTCAAATGAGGAAGAGACTCGTCGAGTAGATGGAGTGACTCGACGAGTAGGAGTGCGTTTTGGGTCGCGGGTTTAGTGACCTACTCGACGAGTCGGTAGACTGACTCGGCGAGTTGGCCAGATTTGGGGAAAACCCAAAATGCGGGCCTTGTACCCTATTTAAAGAACATTATAGCATTCCCTCAGCCTCCTTACTACTCCCTCAAGTCCAGAAACGAAACTCTAGCCATCCAACTCCATTCTTGAGCATTATGAAGCTAAAAGTTGTATTGGTTGTGCACTTCTTGGAAGATTGGAAGCAAGGAACGAGGAGGAGAGTTTAGATCCAGCATCTACTTCATTTTGGCAGTTAATAGAAGGTAACAAGTTGTTACCTTGAGCATCCATTTGATATGTCTCTTCATCTTGAGTTTCATGGCCTTTTCTAGCATATTGGTGGCTAGTGTTTGCATGGGGCACGCTCTGAAGTTTGCAACTTCAGATCTGGACTCCCCAAGGTCCCTAATGCATTAAAGTTTCAAGCTTTTAAGACATGAAGCCCTCCTCCTTAGTAAAACCCTTCTTTGTAGCTTAGTTTTATCCTTTGGGAACTATTCACACGTAAAGGTTGCAACTTTACGTGGAAAGGATGCTCTAGGAGAATGGATCTACCTTTGGGAGAAGCTGTTTGGCTTGGAAATCGTCTATATAGATTGAGACATAGAAGGACTCGGCGAGTCACTTATGGGACTCGGCGAGTCAGTCTGCTTTCTTGCCCTAGAATCCTTCTGTTAAAGGGTATGAGTTGAGTTGGTATGGGACTCAGTCAGTCTGGGTCCATAGCGGGTACGAGGATCATCGTACTCGGCGAGTTTAATGAGGAACTCGGCGAGTCTAAGGCAATCTTCTTAGTTTATGAAGATGGACTCGACGAGTTGTTCATACAACTCGGCGAGTCATAGTCTGGACATTCATAAGAGGGAGATGAACTCGACGAGTTCAAGGAGGAACTCGGCGAGTCGGTTGAGAAGGTCCCGATTGTAAGACTGAAGGAGAACCCGTCGAGTTCTTTCTAGACTCCATGGGTAGGATCGGTGGTTGTTTCGAGTTGGAGAAGCATGGACTCGACGAGTTGGTAGACCAACTCGGCGAGTCAAGTCAACTGGAGGTTGACTTTGACCGTTGACTTTGACCAAGTTTGACTAGGGTTGACTTTTGGAATATTGTGGCCTAAATGTTACTTTGGGTATTGATAGTTCGGGGAGCCGAAGGATCAGCAGTTCAGAAGTTGCCGGCTAGCAGTCAGAAGTGTTCAGCTAGTCTTCAGCAGTGCGAGGTGAGTCTCCTCATTGTGTGCATGGGTCTACGGCCACAATGACGGCCCATTATGTTTATGCTTATGGTTATGTGTAGTAGGAAGACCCGGGGGTTAGCCCTAGGCACTTATTGTGATTTGTTCGAATTTAGATCCGTTACCGGGGTTAGCCCGATGCAGTTTATATGTTCCGGACTTCGGTCCGAAGCCGGGTGGTACCCGAGGCAGTAGTGGATGTGTAGTTATACTTGTTGTCTTTGTGATACTTGTATGTGCCTGGTAAGGAGGTGAGTCGGGTGAGGTCCCATTTCTCATCACTAGCCGAGTATGGACGGGGTTCCGTATCTCATTAGTAGCAGAGCAGGGGCGAGGCCCGAGTTAGAAGGGTGGTGAGTGTGGACGGGGGCCCGTATCTCACTATCAGCAGGAGCGTGGATGGGGTTCCATGGATCACCAGTAGCAGGACAGGGGCGGGGCCCAAGATAGGCGAGGCCTTACATCAGTAGTACATTAGAGTATGATTAGCTTTATGATATGTGTTATGTTATATGATTGTATTTGTTAGTAGCGGGCGAGGCCCAGAGACAGGCGGGGCCTAAGAGAACAGATCTGTATACCGAGCGGGGCTCGATGCTAGGCGGGGCCTGATGCCGGACGTGGCCCGATGCAGTGGGCGGGGCCCAAGTTA